CCTGGGATGCTATTAATCTTCTAAATGTAGTCATAAAAAGTGGCCACAAACCAACACTGAAAACACATTTCTATTGTAAAAGTATGTAAATCTTTGTCTATGTTCTGCTAATGTCAAAAGAACACAACTACGGTGTTTAGATTAAATAAGAATTTAACTAAAATCACATCTGAATAGTTCATGAAATGAGTCATTAGCGTCATCCGTCAGAGGAGACGTTGCTGTCTCATTCAGGCGTTGGAGCACTATGCATGCAGCATTTTGGGAAATTGTAGTCAGTGAATTTACAGAAGAGCTATGGATTCAACAAGTTCAAATGACACATAACTTTTTATGGTCGGTGTGATTCAGTGAGAGTTCTGGTGGAGCCAGAACTCTCACTGAATCTCTGAAAAAAACAAAAACAAGCCATCTTCCTCCTACGACTTCCTGCTGTCTTCTTCATGGTTGTTGCCAGTAGTAACAGCCAGTTGTTGTTCATGTGACTCGTGATGCAAAAAAGTGTTTCCATTGTAGTTCTGCAAAATACACCTACTTCAATATGGCTGAAAAGCACCTCATCCTAGTGCAAAAAAACTTTTTATCCAAAAATGTGAGATTTTCTTTTAATTAGCCTGTTTCCATTAAGCAAATTTGCTTTTGGAATTTCAATTTTCGCAATTTTATCATTATCTTTAAAAATAATAAATATCCAGGCTCCTTTCTATTATAATCTGATTGTATTCAGTTTCTGTGCAATGGATTTTTTTATTATGACTTTTTTTTATTATCAGATGTTTTAACTAAGTTAAAACATATAATGTTAAAATTCAATGAGAATAATCTGAAATGGAATTATCACATAGAAGGTGATAAGCAACACAAGGGAAATGTTCCAGTGTGAGGCAAAAGCTGTAAGTGGACAGATTAAATCAGATTAAGCTGAGGCAGAAACACCTCTAGGATTAATGAGTGTTTTGAGTCGAAACAAAGGAAAGCAGCAGCTGAAGACATTGTACACCACAGCACTACTGACCCACAGCCACCAACACCATAGCATGCACCCAACCCCACATCACTACAACTGGACCACCTTCACAGCCACCAGTTCACATGCACTGGTCTGACTGTGTAGAGGGGAATTTAATCGCATCAATGATTTGGCCCTCTATCACTACTGCTACTGCATGCAGGAGACGAACACCAGCTGCTTAATGCAGATCTGCAGCCTGCTGTGAGGAGAGCTGAACCCTGGATCTGTGTGTCACACAAGACGGATAATGGTGCTGAAAACGTTACACAGAGTTGGTGGTGGGGTTATTAAATGTTAGATGGAGGAACATTTCTGGATTAACAGAAACTTGGTGGTTTGTACATGTAGATCTCACTGTTGTCAGTTTGGGCAACATATTCAATCTGAAAACATTATGAGGACATTAACATTTATTGGAAAAATGTGATCAAACAGAGTTGACCTTCTGAGCTGGATGTGATGTAGCCAGAGCGTTGGCTCGGTGCCTTTTTGGTGCATTTCGGCTCACATTGGATTGTAAGGCTGATCAAGATGGAACATTCTATAGAAAAACTGATAGTGACTCATAGTGGTGCAAAAACATAAAGGCTGCTACCAAATAATACTGCCACTAAAGGGTCAGCATTGTGTTTTCAAGCAACATAGTGCCATTTTATAGAACAATCACGTAACTATGTTACCTCCAGTAAAAATGCTACATACATCAAATATGACCTCAAAGAAGTTTACTTCTTTCAAGAGGTGAACATCTTGAAATTGTGCCTCTGCCACTTTAAGAAACTCCTGCTCTTTCTGAAACTCTGCCTTCAGGAAGTCATCACAACATGGCTCCTCTATTAACCCTTGAACAAAGTTTTTACCAGCGTAGCTTCTATAATGAGCTCAGCAGATGCACAGTTCCACCAGGTGTTAGCAGTTAGCAAACATCAGAGCAGCCCATGGGGGAGGGCTGCTCCGTCAGGCAGAAGCTCTGAAGGTTGGAAACTGCAGGTCTGAGGAAGAGCTGCGCTTCCTCAGAGGCGGTGCTCCAGCCAGGCATTTTGCACAGCTGAGTGGTTGCCATGGAGATCAAAGAATTTCTCAAACATGCATGAAAAAAATCAAGGCAACACTCCAGGTATGTTTTTGATGAGGGAACATTATAACATGATCTAAGCTAAAAAAAACAAGTACATTTTATGTCTTACATGAGGTAAAATGCTGAGGTCTATGTATAAAAATAACAAATGTTATGGACATTTGTCATTACAACTATAACAATCCTTCCTAAGACTAAATGGTGGTCTACATTAAAATAATTGATCATGTGAAACACGGTCCTCCATCATCATAATCTCACTCTGACCCACATCTAGAGTAGAAGAAGAAATGCAGGAGGTAATTTGAGCCCTGCATGGTTTTTCTTGGTGAATCTTGCCACAAACTGAAAAGACTGAGATTTTTTCTTTAGATCAGAGAATTGGTGTGTGGAAGTCAGAGGGCTCACTAGAGAATGCAGAGCAGGTGAACTACAATAACTCAAATAAATAGGTGAGATAGTAAAAGAGCTGGATTTCTCATCAGGGTTTCCTGCAGCGTGTGCGCCCTCTGGCTCCGTGTGACCCGGGCCATTCCCCACAGCAGGCTGTCCAGACCCACATGAGGCTGGATGGGGATGAGGCGTCGTGTTCCTGGCAGTGTGGGCTGGGAGGAGCGGACTGGGTATACCTAGCAGTGCAGCGGCCTGGCTGCGTCCCCCAAAGCTGCGGCTGAAGGAGCTGTGCCTACTTGCGTATGAGGCGGGCCGGCTGGGCAGCCAGGGCAAGAGGAAGGCGGGCAGGTCGCATGGCCGCCGCTCCTCCAACACAAAAGCCACTTCAAACCACTTTCTCTGGAAAAGGGCAAAATCCTCCAAGGCTGCAGTGGACCAGCCGCCAGCAGCCTGCAGCTGGGAATTGAGGCCTGCAGTGACAAACCTCTACATGAACGTCATGGTGCAGAGAAGCAAGGCATGGAAATCTATGGAGCTTAAACTGTGTCATAATTCACAAATGCACAGGACGAGATCCACGCTAGTATTTTTGATGCAAACACAAATATATCTTGATTTACGAGATGCTTCTGGCCTGTGAGTTTCGCTGCATTTGTGTGTGAATTTTGAGACTCCCCTGACATCTCAATTATCAAATAAATGGTCCATCTGATTGGGTGATCAGCAACCAATCAGATAGCTTCCTTGTTTCAACCAATCATATGAACTGACCCCCATGTTGGGGTAACCTATGTGTCAGCCAATCACACTATCCCATTCCAACAGCACCGTAGCCATGACAACGCACAGTTTAGACCTCAGCCTGGTTTCTGGAAGCAACAGAGGAGCGGTAAGTGAAATATCTATCTATTAGCTATTATCTCCATGTTATCATTATTAATGTTAATCGATTTAATTGTGCAACTATAATCACAAGCTAGCGATCTTCAGCACACCTAAGTCCTACATTAGCACATCAGCAGAGCTCTAGTGAGTAAGCTGTGCTATCTAGCTATGCTAGTGCTTCTGCATGCTAATAGCATCAGGCTAGTGTCTTTCTATATAGTTGAATTTCTTCAAGATAATAATGGCATTTGTATATTGTGAATTGCTATAAAGCCCTGGTCCTTAAATGATAAATTATCATAGCAGTGTAATAAATCACTTAAGTCACACTTTTCAGAAACACAAAGTGCTGTTTTTCCAGAAGCCAGGCTGAGGTCAAACTGTCAGTGCGTCATCATGGCTACAGTGCTGTTGGAATGGGTTAATGTGATTGGCTGAAACAAGGAAGCTACTTGATTGGTTGCTGGTCATCCAAACAGATGGACCATTTATTTGAGGATTGAGATGTCAGGGGAGTCTCAAAATTCACACACAAATGCAGTGCAATTCATAGGCCAGAAGCAGCTTGCAAATCAAGCTGCTTCTGTATATATGGATCAGAAATACAAGGGTGAATCTCATCCTCTGCATTTGTGAATTATGAGACAGTTTTAGCTCCATAGAAATCCCATCCAGACAGCAGCTGTGCTTCCCTTGTGGCTAAGCTGGGTTAAAGTCGTGTACCTTCTTTTTCTCCTACTATCCTGTAGAAGTAGAAGCCATAGACGAACGTGCGCATGGCGTCTCCAGAAGCGTGGGCCACCACTCCTTCATCCAGCATTTTCTTCACAAAACAAAGCAGAGAGCTTTGAACATCATCATAAGCTTAAAATGCTTTCACATTTAAAATGACTCTAAAGAAGTTTTTAGTAAACCTGCACCAGTTTATCAATTTCTGCAACAACCCACATCTACATTCATAAATTCATCCTGAAGTTTCCTGTTAGCATCATGCATGCCATGCCTGCAAACCTTCCCTTGTGCTCATTTACTAACGGGAGCACATGCTGTTTCACTGTTACCTGCATGATGTCCACAGCCATGCCTTGTGTGGCCACGCCCTCCACATTGTTGACCAGCCAATGAACAACTTCAGCACTTATAAAGCAGTTGAGTGGGAGGCCTTTCTGCTCTGGGAGCAGCTGCACACCGGTCCTAAAGCGCCCAGCAGAAAACACACACACACACACACACACACACAGGACAGATAACTAGGGGTGGGACCACACCAATATAAATGTTTCCCCTCCTTTGTCAAAAACAACTAATCTTAGTGACATCGCTTTGACATAATCTGAACTGTTGACTTTGATTATTGTTTACTATTTTTAACTACTTTGTTTATTGATTTCAGTCATATTTGAATTATGTGATTGTGTACAGCATTTTAAGTCTTGTGGGTGTTTAAAGTGCTCTATAAATAAAATTGGTATGCTAAATATACTGGCACAATAAACTGAATATAACTGCACTGGATTGAACTGGGATGTTTTTTTTGTTTTGTTTTTTTTTTTATGTTTTTTCATCTAGTAGTCTTTATTTGAAAGTGCTATGATAGGAAAGTAGTGTAATGAGAGAGAGGGAAAACATGCGACAAAGGTCACCATGCCAGGAATCAAACCTGCGACGGCCGCATCGAGGACCAAGGCCTCCTTATGTGAGCTGTGTCCTAACCCTGCACCATCACAGCGCTGAACTGGAATGTACAATATATATAAAAAAAATATATATATCGTGGCCAGACATGAAGCATGTGGGGGAATAGTCACAGCTCACTGTGACTGCATGGCTGGGTAGATTATATTTAATTTATTTTGCTTCTTTTTTTAGCTTGAAAATCCCACCGAATAAACATATTTTCTGTCTGGTACTTGGCACTGAGTTAGCTGCTAACAACACTGTGAGGACAACCAAGCTAGGGCGTAAAAATAATATATCTTGCCTTACATATGAATGTTTGTCTTTCTAAATAACTGTCCAATAAAATTTAAATACAGTTTAAACGATGCGATCGTTACCTGTTCGAAAGTGGCGCTGCAAACTCTAGCATTTAGTTTTCACACCTCCTAATTTTAGCCATAGATTGTTGATCCACTTTACGGTATGGTTTTTAAAATTAACTCCCTTGTGACCAACTCCCTTCAAAACACAACAATAACGTTTATCTTCCTCTCTATTAGAACGGTTGGAACAACCGTACAGGACTCAGACTTTGGGCATTTTGATGCTGGATCAACAGAAGTAAATGGCAGCAATTATTTGCCTTCCATCTGCATTGGGTGACGTTGATACTACGTCATCTGAAACCCAACGATATTCATATGTTTTTCTGGCTCTTATTTTCTTTTTCCATACTTTTCCAGATCAAGGTAATGCTCCAGTCAAATTCCATACTTGGTCAGATTCCATAGTAACCCAGTGATTAAAGCAACTCTGCAGTGAATCACTCCAAACACAACTTCAATCTTACGTGGGATGTTTGATGGCCTCCAGGATCTCCATCAGTGTTGATGAGGAGGACAGACAGAGAGCCCCGGCTGCTGATTGGCCACTGTGGAGAGACCAGCACTTAGCACTGAGCAACACTTCTTCACACTGAGATCTCCAGTTCCTGTGTATTTCACTATCTGAGACATCATACACATAAACAGAATTCAAGTTTTAAACATTTAGAAGATATGAGGAGTTTGACCAGGCTGTAAAGCCGCCTGACCTGGTTTCTGTGCTGCTGTTTGCAGCTTCTCCTGCAGGGGTCGCTGCTCCAGCTCCCACCCCTGCCTGGACTCCTTTCTCTGCTGGCTCACAGGTTTCCACAGGCAGCTACACAATTACAGACACTTTCATTAATTAATGCATTTATTCTGGGAGAATACCTAAAGCTTATTTTTCTGACTGTAACATTTCCTCACTCACATCTAAACACATTTTCTGATGGTTAAACTGAAGTTCTAAGTAAGAAATTTTACTTGGCTTAGACTTGTCATAATAAAGCAAAAACACATTCTAAAAGATCAATAAAAGTTTTACTTTAATGAACATTTACTGAAACCAGAAGACATTTTAAAAATCCAAAATAAAAGAAAACATCAAAAAATAACAAATAAAATGAGTTAATTGAGACCAAAGCATCAGACTGAAGATTTTATCATCCAGTTTTTGGTAGAAAGAGAGAAAAGAGAAAAACAACAAATTATGCAAAGGAAAATTATTGAGCTTGTTTTAATTTATCATGTAGTTAATTGATTATTGCAACAGGACATCTTGGTTTAACTGACAGAGAATACTATACTTCTCTAAAGCTGTTACCTGGTTGCCTCACAAACATTCAACAAGCTTTTAAAACAAGACTTTTCATTGCTGAACAGCAACATTACTCCAACACACAGTCCAATTCAGCTTCCACCCCAACACACACACACAAACACACGCATCTAACAATGACAAGGTTTCACTACAAAGAGAACACAAGAGAACAGGGAAATAGTAGTTCTGATTTGTGGTGAAAGATATGGTCCAATAGCTACTAATAATAAGATAAAGGTGAATTTTAGGGGAAGGAGAATTACCATTATGTGCAAGAGGACATTTAAATCCAAAATACAGCAGAAAAATGTCCTTCTAAAATCTGTAAAACAAATTCTACATGCTACCATTCTTTCTAATGTTATGAGACAAATAGCTAATTTCTAATCTTTATCTTCATTCAGCCTGATAATTCCCTCAGTGCAGTTTACACAAATCACAATCTTTCTAAAGATTTATGGCCTGATTAATGACATGATTAATCAGTTCACTTTGAATTGTGAACAGCTATTCACAGTGCTACACAGTTTCTTAGGTCTGGACTTTGATTAGGCCACTCTAATATAAGTATGCTCTGATCTAAACTGGTCCAGTCTTCTCGGTCTGAAGTGTTTTGCAGCTTTTAAGAGGTTTTCTCTAAGAACTGTCATTTATTTAAATCAATCCATCTTCCCATAACTTTCACCTGTCTCTCTAACCCTGCTGACTTAAGCAACCCCACAGCATGATGCTGTCAACACCTTGAGTCATTATGGCAACAGTGTATTCTCTGCCACGCAGTGTATAGCATCTTGGCAAAAAGTTAAATTTTCTTCTTCCACAGATATATGGTGTACCCAATCTGGATTGGGGTAAACGGAAACATCACTGTTCCACTTAGTTAAAACTTAATTCAATTCAATTTGGTTTCATAACTCACATCATTCAAGTATCTTCAAAAAGTCGTTGTAGATGATGACGATGCTGAGGGTAGGAAGGATCTCCAGTAGCAGTCAGTTTTGCAACAAATCTGAAGACTGTTGCTGTATGACAGCATCATGCTAACAGCTCAGTATCCTGGCAGCAGAAACAATATTCCATAGTAATGTCCTGAATGAGACCATCAGCTGGCCTGCACTGTTAATCCTTCTAAGTTCCTTTTGTCACTCCTCTTTAAATCTTTGTCTGTTTACTTTTTTTTTTTTTTTGATAAACTGAAAATACACATTCCACTAATCCATTTATACCCCATTTTAATTTTATTTTATCTGGTAAAAACCAAAGCAACCAGCTGTTTGATGTATGACAAAACAAAAAAATGAGACTAGAAAATGGAGAATGGAGGCTTTTCTACTTGGCAGTATAACACATTTGGCACTGAAAACTTGAAAGGTCGCTGATCAGCAGGAGTCAGTCGAGCAATAATAAAGCATTAGTATGAAGAGAAGCAACACATAACACATAGCAACCAAACAGCTCCAGCAACACCCAGGGATCCAGTTACTGACCTGAGAGTGATAGATGTAGGAGGAGCGAGGGCTACGTATAAAATCCAAAACAAAGGCAGCGTCCTGTCAGCATACAGGAAGAGCATAACCCACAATCAAATACCCGAAGCCCAGCAACAAGAGTAGAACAGATGCAGAAAGACATGAGCAAAAGCCCCACATTCAAACACAAGCAAAGGACAGCTACTTGATCCCAGGATATGATCTTGATTAAATTCAATTCTGACTTCTCTGTAGAAGCCTGAAGCATTCAGAGAAGAAATGCTCACCTTACGGGGACTGTCTACATATGTAGGAGCCATGGCAATGCCAGACAGATCGCTCACAGCAGGGACAGCCTTGGACTGCTGCTGTTGTTCCTCCAGGGTCCTGAAGGAAAACAGGGAAATAATCCAGAGGAGACAAAGATGTATGCTTTCAGATTTACTTCAGCACCCCAGCAATACTTACTTCTGGTTCTGCTCCATCTCCAGCAAAGCTGTCAGAGCTGAAGTGCCCCTCTTTCCTTGTGGAGGTGCCACAGTCTCAGGTGGGTAGGGTGGGATAGGACTGGTAACCTGCAGTCCTTTCATGGGGGTGCCCTTCTGCTACAGTAGATATACAATCAGCAGGGTTTCCCCTGGTGTATTATAAGCATGGTGGGCCACCAGGCTTTACTTGTGCCACCACCAGGCTAAGTAATTCTTATTTAAGTTTTTTTTTTTTTAATGTTTGCATTTTTAAAAGATTTTATAACACAATTATCAAGAGATATTTTCAAATTTCCTGTCGGCTTTAAACATTTTTTAACTCAAAAACACAACTGGATGAATGACTGCCCTAGCACCCAACCACCAGGCTTAGCAAGTTTTCTGGGGGAAACCTTGAATCAGGAAAAGAGACGGAAAACAGACTGTCCTGCTTTTAAAGATCATCAATTGCAGGAGGAACTTTCTTCTAGCCGGTAGAGCTGGAGAAGAAGATCAAACTGTACAGTATAAATATAGCGCTGTTTGGTAACACACCACCAGAATATAACAGTACCAAGGCTGCAACTAACCATTATTGTAGTAATCAATTATTCTGACAATTGATCAGATAAAAAAAAAACTGGCACAATTTTCGGTAACACTTTATTTGACGGGATGTGAATAAGACTGTCATAACACTATCATAAACATAACATTACACCTGTCATGAACATGAGGAAGTCTTCATGACACTTTATGACTGTTGTCATAACCTAGACAAAATTGTCTTCGTTATGACATCTTGACATTAACCAAGAAATCAT